AAGCAAAAATCTGCCGCCAAACCCCATGCCAGCCTACCTCATGCTCTGGCCTTAATTGAGAGCCACCCTCAAGTGAATAGCAGCCCCCGACTCTCATTCTGCCTTCTTCTGGCCCCAGCCTTAATAAAGAGCCCCCCCGCCCCCAAAGCCAAAAGCAACCCCAGGCCCACCTATCTCAGGTCCCAGCCTTAATATAGAGCCACCTCCCAGTGAAAAACAGCCTCCAAGCCCTGTGCCCACTGAGGCCTAAATGATGGAAAAAAAAAAAAAAATAGTGATACTATCTAGAGCAGTGTTCCAGATGAGGACCTATTGGGTACAAAGTTCTGGAGAGAGATCCAGCCTGGCATGTGCAAGGCACAGGAAGAAAGTCAGGATGTTAGGAACTGAATGAATGGGAGAGGGCAGAGAATGAAGATGGAGAGGTAGGTAACAGTCAGACTAGAGAGAGCTTTCTAGTAAGTTGCTTATGTTTTTAAACAATAAGAAGCCATTGGAAAGGTTTAAGCAGTACTGTGAGGAGCTCTGGCGATGTAGTGGATAAGACATTTGGCTGCTAACCAGAAGGTCTGTGGTTCAAACCCACCAGCTGCTCCATGGAAGGAAGGTGGGGCCACCTACTTCTGTAAGGATTTACAGACTCATAAACACAATAGGTGTCACTGTGAGTCAGAATTGACTTGGTGGCAGTGAGTGTTTGTTTTGGTGATTGTGTATGATTTGTTATTTGAGAGGTCATTCTGCTTGCAGTGAAAATAATAGAAGGGATAGGGTGGGGTAAGATGAGTGTGGGCAAAAGATGAAGTCCAGATAGAAGGACTTTGCAAAAGTCCAAGGTATGATTTTGGCTGAGACTAGGGAGATACCATTGGAGATGGTGAAAGACAAACGGACTTGGTCAATGTAGAGGCTTTTCTGATGGATTGACTATGGACAAATCTGAGTAAATGGGGATAATTCATGCAGTTTTATTTTTTCAATTTCTACTCTGTTCCAAGCACGGTGTTATACACTGTGTATTACAGAAATTAAACTAAACATGGGTTTGCTATGATTCAGAAAAGACTGGACAGCAACCAACAGCAACAAGAGGATAGACATAAGTCTTGCCTTCATAGTGCTTAAAATCTGACAAGAAACATCCTTAGAATAATCACACAATTAAATTAATAGAGGCAGGCTCAGAAAAGAGAAATGAAATAAAGCTATACAGTAATGTAAAAGCATATAATGGAGTGACCTACTTTAGCCAGGATGTGTTTTGGTGGATGGTAGGATTGGGATTGAGGGCAGGAAGGACATGCCATTTCAGAGAAGGCTGAAAGAGAAGTTGGTGAGAAGCAATGGAGATATGGCAATGGAAGTTCACAGCCCTAGTGCTAGGAAAAGAACGGAGCAGACTGGAAGGCAAAGGTGGGAGCGTGTGAAGACGTTGGAAAGGCATAGCTTTAAGCAACTATGTATGACCTTCTTGGCCATGTTAAGGAGATTGACTTGTATCCTAAACACTGGAAACCTTGTCTGTCTAATTGCTAAGATCTGGTGCGGGATTGGGCAGTGTTTTATTCTGCTGTGCATGGGGTCGCTATCAGTTGGAAACGATTCGACAGCACCTAACAATAGCAACAACAATTGCTCAGATTTCTTCCTATTACAAATTCTGTATTTTTCTGTGATTTAATTTGAAGTAAGAAAATGGCATTGCTTCAAAGTGACCTTCAAAAACTGCTGGCATTTGATTAGCATAATTACAGAGCCTCTTGAAGAATCAGCATGCATGATCATCTTCCCCTCAGGTGCAATTGAACATTCCAGGATAATATAGTCATTACAGTCCTGGTATTATGACACCATCAACACTATCTTTCCCAAACTTGGACTGCCTTTGGCCATTGTCCCATTGGCTCTTCTCTGGACCCCTGGGTTTTATGAGCTTATGCAGTATGGAAATATGCTTATGAATGCGTGTGTAGGTATGCTAATTGATACGGCAATTGTGGGTGTCAAGTTACAAAAACCATATTGAATGATGTTAAGAAGGTGATTAGACAATTTTCTTGAGTTAAATAAATAGACTAGCTCTGGTTGCTGATGCCAGACTTTCTACTCTCTGGTATAAATAGATTAAACAAACATGAAAGATTTTGTAAAGTTATTCTCAACTGGGGAAAATTTGTCCCCCAAAGGAACATTTAGTAATGTTGGCAGCATTTTTGATTCTCACAGTTCGGGTAAGGATGTTATTGGTATCTAGTGTGAAGAGACCCAGAGTGCTGGTAAACATCCTACAGCCGAACAGAATAAATAGGAAAATCCTCCACAACAAAGAATTATCTGGCTCTAAATGTCACTAGTGTCAAGGATGAGAATCCCTCACCTTGATACTTTGTTGTTGTTGTTGTTGTTATGTGCCGTCGAGTCAAACCCGACTCGTAGCATATTGCAAATAATTCTGATCGATCAAGAGTTCTCATAGGAAGTAATTGCCATACATGGTTAGAGACATTCTTCAGGAAGGAAATGGGTGAGCAAAATGAATTCAGATGAACAAAGAAATCTTCACATTAGTGCTTTTTATTTGTACTTTTTCTACTTTTTTCAAAAATAATAGTACATCAACTGCTATAGAACCATAATAAATTGCTCACTCCCCTCTTCCCAGGATGCCTTTCTTCTACTGAATGTCTAGTGACCTCTTCCTTCCTTGGGGCTCAAGCATTGCTCCATGACTTCCCTCAGAAAGAGTCAGCTCCTCCCTAGACTGTGGTCTCACGGGAGCCTGTACTTACACAGAGCATATAGCATTTTGCATGTCATGTTATATTAGAGATTTTTGAGGGGTCTTGATGTAGGAACCAAGTGATAAATAAATAAGCACTAAGATAGACAGAAAGACAATAAAATTACCATATCACTAATAAAATCTGGGTTGGAATATGTAGCTTAGATATGAGAGCCAAATAGGCTTCCCAACCTTAGACTGGACTGACTTGCCCTGTTACAGAATCCTAGACAAGAGCAGATTTCACTGTGTTGGGGAGAAGAGTCTTCTCTTGGGGAAACAGCAGAGAATAGAAAATTGCGTACCATAAGGAAGAGATGGGGTGATTTCTTCTAAAAATGCTAATCAGATAAGCCACACCATCTCTATTGCAGAGTGAGGAGTGAGGAAAGAGTCGTCTTGAATTAAACAAATTGAACTCCATCTACATAGAAGAATACATCCAGGGTTGTAAAGATTCTCCCCGACCCTATACCACTGCCATAGATTGTAACTTTTTGTTTGCCAGCTTTATCTATCACCTGTATTATCCAATACCGTAGCCACTAGCCACTAGTGACTACATAAATGATTAAAATTTAAAATGAATTTTCAGTCACACTGGTTATGTGTATTATGCTGGTAAGTTCTATGCTGCTGAACATTTCCATTATTCCAAAGAGATCTACCAGATGGTATTGATATTAGGCTGATGTAAGCTGAGATTTTTATCTTATTCCTCATTTAATTATCAGTGTCTATAACAAGGCCTTACTCAGAGGCACTGACAAATGTTTGTTGAATGAATCTGTAAAAGTAGAGTTTTGTGATTTTGTTTCTCAAATCTGTATGTCATAAAGATCTTTCCATTTCAAAGCAGCAAACTATAAAAATGAAACTGAGATATCTTATTTATTGAAATAAACCACTTAGAGTATATGTTTTATAATCCTATTATTATTTAAAAATAATTTTTTCTTATGAGTATAGATATATGTGTTCAGAAGCATAGGATGGAGGATACCCACCAGGCTGTATATGCCATTTGTGACTGATATTGTGGAGGGGGTTGGGAATAAGGAGGAGCTTTTTACTTAAAATAGTTGTCAATAGGAAAACGAGTTCATTTTTTGTTAAAAATAAATAGCAACAGACTAGGTAGTATGTTACTTTCTTGATACACAAATTAATAATAGCTGTTCTCAATGTCAAATATTAATGAAAGGCAATTTTCAGAGTGAATAGACTAAAGTGTTCAGAAAAATGATATTGAAGTCTAAGGACAAATCATAGCCATCAGCCTAATGGATATTGCATGCAAGCCATGAAGTCTGTTTTCTAAGGAGTGAGCAAAGTATTGTTTTTTTTTTTTTTTTCTCCCAAAATATGGCTCCCCTGCTAAGCTGCAGAGAAGGACAGAGCCAGATGGCACTGTTCTAAATTTTCTGTTATACCTCCTGACCCAGCAATAAGGTTTCTCCCACTTCTCCTTATAGAAATTAGTTCTGTTCATTGCAGACGTAATCTCCATCCTGGGAATGGGCCGAGTGGCTGTGCTGGGGTCACAGAACTGACACAGTGACTTTGATAATCCTTTTGCAGATTTACCATGCTCCTAGTTTGGTAGTTTACAAGCTCACAGATGCTGGACTAGAATTCAGTCCATAAAATTAAGATATTCTGTTGGACAGGGCTAAATCTAAATTGCTAAAGCAAGGACATTAAAGCTTGAAGCTACGCCTTAAAAAGTAACTAGGGCCATCTAACCCACACAAAAATCAACCTGGTTTCAAATGAAGATCTCTAGACACTATAGTCATGTCTCAGGAAAAGGCTATCTTTATGAGGATACTAAAACCAAATGAGAGTGAGAAATAAAATAATAGAAAGACCAGTTTAATTAGCAGCCATGCTATTTTGTTTCATGCTCAATCAATGGGAGAACATACTTTCATCAAACAATTAAAATGAGTGAACTTGAAGACAGGAATATAATCACCCAGAAAAACATGACATTAACAAAATAGTTTTTTTTTTAAACGAGCAGGATAGAAATGATTTCTTTGTAATTATTGACCTCATTGACTATTTGTTTTTCATTCTTAGATCATGATGATGTTAGACTTGTCTAAAATTCCCTCAGGATGACTCCATTAGGGATTGATATTTGAGGAGGTTGAACCGTTTTGGTAAATTACTCCTTTCTTAATTTTGTTTTGTGTTACTCTCTATTTTTTAGACCCACTATGAAAATGGAGAATACATTATCAGGCAAGGTGCAAGAGGAGACACCTTCTTTATCATCAGCAAAGGAAAGGTAAGCTTTGGTAGCACAAGAGTGATAAGGAGAGGAACCTGGGCTCGTTTGCAACCCCTGGAGGAGCACATGTGCAGAGTTTTGTGCTGTACAATGTTTTCCATCTTTTGATATTGACAGAGAAATATGTTAGAATGGATCTTCCAAAAGTGATTCAGAAGGAAGAAGTACAACTTTGAAGACCATAAATAGCCTGTGTGATAATTAATAACCATTATGTTAGATGATATGGATATGTCTGTGTAAATGGAATGATTTCCATCATCTGTTGTTATTGTTGGAGGCCTTTGAGTTAATTTCAACTCAACTCATTAATGACCACATGTGACATAGTAGAACTGTCCCATAGGGTTTTCTAGACCCACACATTATATAATTTAAAAAGAAAAGACAAAGGTCATACAAGAAAATGCCTATGAGAGAAAAAAATCTATCCAGTCATTAGGATCAGAAACATGCTATAATGAAATATCTCAGCTTTGAAATCAGACGCCTTAAGTTGAACCCTGGCTATGAAACTTACTAATTACTGTCCTTAGGCAGGCTGTTTAACATCTGAGGACAATAAAGATATAAATATATTCATATTTATTGCTTATTTGTAAAGAAAACATTAAATGGCTACTAAACCAAAACCCACTGCCTACGAAACTGATAAAAGTGAAAAATTATAGGGAAAAAGGTAAAATTGGAGTGAGTGAGGCACATGAATGAAAAATCATAGCTCATTCCATATTATATTATTTTTATTTTGTTTTTAACAATTTTAATCTATTAAAAAATTCTGTTTAAAAACTAAGTAAGAAAGTAAGTGAATTGGTAAATGGAGACTTACCTAGATAAATATACTACTGTTATATTCTGAGACAAACTTTAAATTTCTTTCAGTAGTAAACTCATAATAGTAAACCCATAATCAATTTTGAATTTAAGTGTCATCACACTATATCCTATGATTGGAACTTATTTTCCTTTATCAAAGTAATTCTTAGAAAGAATTTCTATCTGTGTATGTATCCATCACAGTAAGAGATGGGAAAGGAGGAGTAGGTAAAGGGAATATATTTGCCAGCTGTCATTTTTAATATGGTAAATTTTTAAAAATAAATTTTTTTTTTCTAATTCAACAGATAACAGTGACTCTAGTACCTGATCCTTATATTTATAATAATAATAACGATAAAGGAGGTATTTACAGAGCCTGAATGAACAAGATATGTGAAAGATTATAAATCTTGGTGGATCACATTTTAGATAATCCTCTCTGGACTAATTTTGTATTAAGAATGTGCACATGTCAGTCTTTGCACACACACTTACACTATACACACACACATATATACGTATGTGTGTATACACTGATATCTGAAAGCTTAGGCTAGAATATCACAGTTTGGATCTAACTTCTTTAAAGGTATCATGAGATGAGATGCCTGAGCACAGTTAGGGTTAAAATTTTATCTTATATTTCCCAATGTTACAGGATAAGAAAATGTTAGCATTTTGTGGTTTATGTGATAGCTTGTTAGAGTTTACCATTTGCTGTTCTATTGCTTAATGTTAACTAAAGAACCAGAGGAATTTGAAAATCCTCATGGGCATAAATGATTCAATGGGTCCTAAGGGAACTTTTCATCCTGACAATCTGGATTTACTTTTTCTTTACTACATGGCTAACTCTGCTATAATGAAGTGATATGCTTGTCCTTTATGATGAAATTCTGACAGGCTTTTGTAACCATCCTACTATAGCAAATTTTCAGCACAGCCTGAAAAAGCTGTGACTTGTAACCAATTTTAGGTGAAGATAGGTGTTTAGTGGTGCTGTTTTGTGAGTTTTATAATATGTATAAATAAAAACTGTAAGCAAATTATACTACAGGACCCAGTTCCCTTGGTAATATTTCAGAGCACTAAGGGGATTCTGAGAGATTAGTAGTAAGAACATATTAGATTCTCTTAACACATTCAAGATTTTTTTTAAATTGGAATTAGAAATACCATTTGACCCAGCCATCCCATTACTAGGTATATACCCTAAAGTAGTGAGAGCCATGACAAGAACAGATATATGCACACCCATGTTCATCGCAGTACTATTTACAATAGCCAAAGGATGGAAACAACCTAGATGTCCATCAACTGAGGAATGGATAACCAAACTATCGTACATACACACAATGGAATACTATGCAATGCTAAAGAATAATGTAGAATCTGCAAAACACCGCATAACGTGGATGAACTTGGAGGACATTATGCTAAG